AGGAGAAACCTAGAATAACATGGCAGCTCTCGAGGCGGGAGAGACCAGAAACCTCTTTAGGGTCTATTGGACACAGGGGCAGATGTGACGGTCATTCCTTCTCAGGAATGGCCGTCGCATTGGGAATTGCAGGACATGTCAGGTCACATTCGAGGTGTTGGGGGTTTATAATTGGCGAAACAATGAAAGAGCACCGTGCAAATTAAGGGGCCAGATGGGCAATTGGCCTCTATACGCCCATTTGTTTTGGACTACACGGAACCCCTGTGGGGGAGAGACCTCCTTGCCCAGTGGGGAGCCTAAACTGACCTTCCAGCAGCTCCCCAGGTTTTTTTGGCAGCAGTCACTGAGGGGCGCCCTACCTGGAAACTGAATTGGAAATCGGATAAACCAGTACAGGTAGCACGGTGGCCGCTCAACAAACAAAAATTGAAAGCGCTCAACAAACTCGTCAAGGAGCAGCTACTTAAAGGCAACCTGATGGAGACCATGTCAGAGTGGAACTCCCCAGTGTTTTTCATCAAAAAGCCAAACAAAGATAAGTGGCGGCTCCTTCACGACCTCCGCCAAATTAACAACATCATTGAAGATATGGGGCCTCTCCAACCAGGGATGCCGTCCCCAACGATGCTCCTCCGAGATTGGAATTTGGCTGTTATAGACATAAAAGATTGTTTTTTCCAAATTCCTCTTCACCTGGATGATACCCCACGTTTTGCCTTCATGGTTTCTGCCATCAACCGTGGAGCCCCGAGTAAGCGCTACCATTGGTGTGTTCTTCCGCAGGGAATGAAGAACAGCCCTGTCATTTGCCAATGGTATGTTGCTTCCTTGCTGTCCCCAATACGTACAGCTGCTGAGGATGCCGTCATTTACCATTACATGGATGACATCCTCGTTTGTGCTCCGACTGATGACACTTACCCACGTGCTTGACCTGACAATCAATGCATTGGTTGCTGCAGGGTTCGAACTTCAGCAGGACAAAATTCAACGGATGCCACCTTGGAAGTACCTGGGTCTGGAGATAACTAGGCGGACCATTGTTCCGCAAAAATTGGCCATCAGAACTAACATTAAGGCCTTTGCGGATGTCCACCAGCTGTGTGGGTCTTTGAATTGGGTAAGGCCTTGGCTAGGAATACCAACTGATGACCTAGCCCCCCTTTTCAATTTACTGAAAGGGGGAGAGGAGCTCAGTTCTCCTAGGTCACTTATCCCAGAGGCACAGGCAGCACTGGAGAAAATCCAAGGGTCCATTTTGGCCAGGCAGGCCCACAGATACCAACCGGGCCTGCCGTTCAGGTTTGTGATTCTAGGAAAGTTGCCACACCTCCATGGGGTGATTTTTCAATGGGACGATTCTATCAAGGGCAAGGACCAAGGCTCGGGGGACCCTCTCTTGATCATAGACTGGGTTTTCCTGAGCCATCATAGGTCCAAAAGAATGACACAGCCATCAGAGCTGGTGGCAGAACTGATCTGAAAGGCAAGATCATGGATCAGGGAACTGGCTGGTAGTGACTTCGACTGCATTCACATCCCCGTCAAATTGGAATCGGGTCAATTCAAAAAGAGAACTTTTGATGAACTGCTTGAAACTAATGAGATGTTACAGTTTGCTCTGGACAGTTACACCGGCCAAATTCCTGTCAATCGGCCAGCCCATAAACTGTTTAATCAAGATGTTCAATTCTCCTTGTCATTAAAAAGAATTCAGAGTCGGACCCCTTTGGAAGCACTGACTATGTTTACTGACGCGTCTGGAGCATCCCACAAGTCTGTTATGACTTGGAAGGATCCTCAAACTCAGCGCTGGGAGGCTGATATTGCCAAGGTGGAAGGATCACCTCAGGTAGCTGAGTTGGATGCAGTCGTCAGGGCTTTCGAGAGGTTCTCTAGCACAACAGAGCTGTGCTACAGCACTCGCCAATTAAAAAAAATTAAATCTTTGTACTTCATAGCAGGTAACTTATGAGAAATAAATTGTTCTTCAATGGAACATTGTGTTTATTACATGGCCTTTTCCCAGCTTGGATCATCTGTCTTACTAGGGACCAGGATTTTAAAAAAGGCAAATCTAAGAGCTGGTATTTTAGAGAACACTTTATGCACCTAGGATGAAAGAATTAAGCACAGTGAAGATGAAGAAATTGTATCGATTTCTCTAGAGAACTTTCAGGGGGTGTTTTCCATACAAAATTTAACGGCACATTAATATGTGTTTTGAAAAGTTCAAGATCAGAATTCTAAGATCTAATATTAAAATATTGTATTATTGGGTCTACTGTATACCCATCAAGATGATTTGCTATTTTCATTCCTTGTCCGTTCAAAAGGAGAGAAATTAATAACTTCCTTTTAAAGAAGTTTTAAAGATACCACTCTACACTATGCATCTGATTTACATTCACTAAGATGAGTATGAGTGGACCACATGTCTGTAGGATTTGGTGACACCTCTAATGAACTAAAAAGACTGACTAAAAAGCCAAGAGTCATTTAAAATGTAATTAAACTATAAATACTGAGTACAAGTTCTGTGCTTTTATATTCCATTAATGTGTTGATTGTCACTGATTGCCTAAGATTGAAAACACTAAGAGAATTCCAAGCTCCTGCCTGGAAATTTCAATGCAACTGAGTCTCACAGGTTTTTCATAAATAACTGAACTTCAAAGGAAAATCATAGTCAGTCAAACATTTCAGCAAGAAAAAAAATAAAAGCACAGGACCTGTTGAGACATTTAATCCACAAAAATGACATTTATCAATAATAAATGTTGGGATAATATTCTCAGATTGAAAGGTGACACAGAGACTTTAAAGCTTTGTATTCTTTAGAAGTGATTAAAAAAAATCGACATGGAAAAAAACCTAGCATGGTATCAGTAGGAAGTAAGGAAATTGCAGTAATTCCTGGAGGCATTTCCAAAGTGGAAGATTCCCACTCTGCAAGCAGTGATTATTAAGTGCATGTTCCCTGATAAACACATGAACCCATTAAGATAAAGCAGTAATCCCTTAAAAGAAGTAAAACTGGCTGGACTTTCTCTTAAAATTAAATTTCTCCAATTCATCAAGTTACTTTGCAAATTATTTCCTTAGCCAAAAAAGATCAAGAACTATAATTTTGATGAAAAAAATGGAATTAAAATGACACACTGTACTTCTAATTCTGAAAATAACTGCAAATTCTGTAAAAGAAAATGACAGCTTTTAATGGCTTCTGTAGTCTGTCACTTTTGCATGTGATTAAAATGTGGGTTTTTTCAAAACATGCATGCAATATTGAGCATCTTTAGAGATTAATTTAGCATACCTTATTATAATAGCATGTTCTACTCAAAAATGTGGGTTTATATGAATACATCCATAATTATATTACATATTATACAAGGCATCTTGAGCTTCAGATTGCACTTACACGAGAAGCTCATTTAAAAAAAAAAAACCATCCACTAGTGAAAAAAAGTGCTACATGTTTAAATCTCTTAAGTAGAGAGCATATCAATCAAACCAGAGGAGTTTTTTTTTTGGAACTAGGTAGGATCCACAATTCATTAGTATTATAATCTATCAGTAACTAAATATACAAACTGCCAAAATTTTCTCATCAAAGTGCACAGAATACAATGTTAGAAATGTAAGCCTCAGCTACAGTTTGATATCAGTGAAGAGTATTTTCCTGATTTTTTTTCTTGACTGTGTAAAATCCTCCTCTGCTGTCAGTTAACTTTGTCTATGGGTTTGGATAATGCATCAGATTATGCCATTCCTTGCTTCGTTAAATCATGGAGAAAAACAGGAATAATATTTTGAAATAAGTCAAATACCCAATTGATTCCTTGATTAAACATGTTTTATTCAATGTTACTTCTGTGTTTAAAATATTTTGCAAAGACCAATCTATACTCAGCTATAACTGAGACTTATTCTGGACAGAAAGACCTTCTGGCCTGTGCACAAACAGCAGTTTTCCATATTAACAGTGAGCTAGCAATGGTGAACAACAACAAAAAAGGAGGATTATAACAAATACCTGCAATAATACAAATTTCAGCATTTTTGCATCATTTGTACATGGTCAATAGAGGATGGATGAAGTGCAAGTATTTCTAAAGGCAAGCAACATGAAAGACAGGTTGTAAATTTTCAAATAGGCCCCAGTTTTTTAGCTATGGCTCAACTCCAGAACCAAAGGGCAAACAAATTTATTACCTTTTGAGGATTTACAGATGGACTATTATTGAGGAAAAAGGGGAATCCAGTTGACAACCATTGGAATTCTTAACAGAACAATCAGCACGGGATACAAGAGGCTTTTGTTTGCACAGATCCTTAGGAGCCAGAACCCCGCTAGAGTGATGCAGCGCGCTGCATCTGCTCTCGGGACAATCAGCTCCTCTTTATAGTCAATAAAAGGTAAACAGAGCCCAGCCCGCTGCGACAGCTCTGCCAGGGGCCCGGAGGGCTCTCCAGCGGGACGGATGCGCTGACGGCGACACCTCAGCAGGATGCGCTGCTGGCAGAGATGGGCCGCGCATCACCTGTCCGCAACGGGGCGCGCTGCCACTAAGAACCACCTCCCCCGGACCCCCTCGAGGGCATAACCACCTCCCAGTGCCGCACAGGGCCGAGGGAAGCGGAATTTAGAGGGCAGCTACGTTCCCTGTGCCACGGCCAGGGTTATCTGCCATCCCCAGCCCCGCAGAAGAAGCGACCGCCATCGCCCCCGCCCCTCCCGCCGCGGAGAGGGCAGCGCCGGCAGCGCCCCTACTGCGCATGCTCAGGCCGCCTGCGCCTGCGCCCCGCGGCGGCTCCGTTCATTCTAAGGGAGGACTAATTCTGACAGGACGGGCGGGATGGGGCAAAGGGATCCCCTTCCCTCACAGCGCGACCCGGCCGCGACATGCGGCGCTCCCCGCCACTGCCGCCTCTCCGCAGGCGGCGAGGCGCCAGTCCCCCCTGAGCGCTCCCTCCGAGCAGCGCACACCCACCTGCAGCCAACACCCGCAGCTCACCGACCGCTCTAGCCCACCCTCCGCAGCAGCCACGCCGGCAGATTGGCTCCTTCCGGCATCATTCTCCTGCTCCTTGCACTCGGAATGGCTCTGCCGGCCGCCACTCCAGGTGAGGGCCCGCCCACCTGTCCTCGCTGACGACACCGCGGGTGCCGCTCCGCCGCAGGCACCGCCTTTCCTCTGATAGGTCGCTACCTGGCGCATTCCGCTGTCACTCAGAGGGCGCTCTGACATCGGGTTGGGTATTGCTCTCGGGGGCGGGGCCCTCCGCGCTTCCCGCACGCCGATTGGCTCCCGCCAGCCCCGGGGGGCGGGCGCAGGGAGCGCGGCCGGGCCGTGGCGGCGGGGCCGGCCATGGGTAGCGTGCGCTGGGCCTTCCCGTGCGGCGCATGGCGGCCCCGCCGCCGCGAGTGGCTGCTGGCCGCGCAGCTGGTGCAGCCCGAGGAGAAGGAGCGCATCGGCCAGTTTGTGTTTGCTCGCGATGCCAAAGCCGCCTTGGTACATGGGGAGCCGGGGCGCGGTTTTCTCTCTGCACGGTCAGCGGTGCCCAAATTCCTGATTTGTCGTGGGAAAACATGCCGTGTGACGGCATTTCAGGGGTGTAAAACTAAAAGATAAGGCTTGTATTAAAGTATGAAGTTGTGCCTCACTGAGGAGCCGGGAGGGACGGCAGGCTGCTGTCAGTAGGTACTCGGAAAGACTTCACAACTTCTAAGTCGCGATACCAAGTCAGGAGACAAAATCAGCGTACCCTGAGGGACTACATAGGACATCGGGGTAACGACTGGGAGAATAAAGCTGTTTTCCAAAATCCAGAGTTTAAATCTCGCCTGATAGCATAGTAGTACACGCTTGCTAATTAGTCTGAAAGGAGTTACTCATCACTTTTAGCTGTTGAGAATTTCATGTAGCACCTAGGTAGTAAATGGATGTACTGAAAGGAAGTTTATTGAGATAATTTTACTGTTCAGGGTGGTGTTAAAAGTATTTATTTGTGCCATAAAGTATCGTAAATAAGTTACTAATGTAGAGAAGGGAACTACTGCGATTTGTCTGGGCTGGGACTTACTTACATTAATTGTGCTAATAGTGACCATATGTTTGATGCTCTGATGGACTCTTCTGCTTAAACTTACTTGACACAGGTTTTATAAAAGGGAGAAATTTTAATTATTTGGCTAAAATACACGAATTGATATCAACAGTAATTAACCAACATTTTTAGGTGAGTGATTTTTTAGCAACCACGTAGCACAATAATTCTGTATGAATTACTTCCATTTTCTTTCACAGGCTGGTCGCCTGCTGATGCGGAAATTAATTGCAGAGGAGCTGTGCATACCTTGGAATGAAGTCCACTTGCAAAGGACACCAAAAGGAAAACCCTTCCTGGCCAGTAACTTAGCTGGTATCAACTCAAATTACAACTTCAATGTCTCTCATCAAGGAGATTATGCAGTCCTTGCAGCTGAGCCTGAGCTTCAAGTTGGCATTGATATTATGAAGACTGATTTACCAGGTAATTCATTATGGTGACTGAAGCAGATTCTGTAGTGTTTGAGTACTGAACATTTTCATATTTCCCAAAGAACCAATCTTTGTCCTAGAAATGTAGTGTAATTAGCAGAGAGTGTGTGAATGTTTTGTGTATTTGGGATTTCTAGTGCTGTTAAATGCACTCCTCGTTGTTTATTTTGGGGAGCATTGTAGGACAGATACAGATATATTTCTCTTTTATAGAAGCAGAACTTTGGGAAAATAAGATCATGAATCCTTCTATCATATGGGCAGCATCTGCAGATACTTTAATTATGGATTTGCTGTGTGTTAGGCAGAAGGAAGAACATCTTTCCAAATAGGGACAATAGGATCCATCCCCATGAGAACTTCATAGACTGTGTTACTCAGTTGTCCCATATGTATGGACATTTTGTGTGTCAGCAACACAGATTAGCTGTGAATGTGCAGTAATCCCCAGTGAGAAGGGATCATGAGGAGGGAACATGTGAGGTGGTCTTGGGAAAAGACTAGACTTTACAAACTTTAGCTATTGGCCTATTTATTAGTATGAAATGACTGTATAGGTTGGTGAACTTCAGGATCCAAATTAGGATTGTAGCAAAGTGTATTCTTAAATACAGTTTTATGGAGATGATTTAGCTTGCAGATGTTCATCAATGCATAGTCATGGGTTAAAGGAGAAACATACTGGGATTTCTGATTCACTGGAATTCTTTTTTTTTTTTTAGAATCTTCCTTAAACATTTAACCAGATATGGCAGTAGTAGTTGTGTTCTTAGAGGATCTTTCTTCTAATTTTTTGGAGTTGCCCGGCATTTTATGCTGCAAAATATGTGGTATTGTAAGGGAGAGGTTCAGGGTGGATGGATAACTTTCTGTCTGATCACTTTACACCTTTTAATGATAGCTACAAGTGTATAGTTTTGCACTGTCACATTCAGCTAGGATTCACAGAAGCTTTGCTGCAATCTGAAGTTCATTCCTGTGACTCACACCTGCTGTAGACCCTCGCTCTGAACACAGTGGTCAGCAGGTGAGGCCACAGGACAGCCTTTGGAGAGTCCTCCTCCAGAGCTGTTGTGTGTTTGGTGACAGGAGCTTTGTCCTGTCACCGTGGGTAAGGCTGCTTTGGTACAGGGCCACACCTGACAGGACTGCAGTAACACAGGGCCCAAATAACCAGATTAAGCTTGAAGCTGGTGCTTCTGTCATAGCTCTCTCAGGCAAAGCAAACAAGGTGATGTCCCAGCTGTGTCTCCTCACAGCATCTTGCACATGCTCAGCCTCTTCACTGGGGGAGCAGAGTGGCAGAGAAGGCCTTGATGCTGTGCAAACACTGCTGATACTGGTGTGGTATCAACACTGAGTTAGGCATAGACCTAAAACACAGCAGTCCATAGGCTGCCATGGCAAAGGTAACACCTGGACCCAGTATCCTTGGAAACACTCTGGTTGGGCTGCCACTGGCCTTACCACAGGACTTGCTAATTTTAATTCTTCATTCCAAAAAGTTTCTAGTTTCAGCAGGTAAATAGTGAAAATCAAAACATTCAAGCACTTGTACTTGAAGCTTTTCTTGGGAACTGCAGAATTCAAATTTATACAGAAAAATAAAAAAATTTATATGTGGAAGTAGGGAATATCTTACATCCTCTGCTGGCATTTTATGCAGGGGTAAATGTAGCTGGCATTTTAAAGGCATGTGGTCAATGTCAAGCTGACAAGTTTTATGAAGGGTTTTAAACTTTATTTCTGAAGTCTAAAGACTAAGTAATACTTTGAGATCTGATACAGACAGGCTTTAGTGTTTTTGGGAGATGCTGGTGATTTCAAAAACAGAACAGTGAAAGATGACTCATATGTCTTCCTTCTTGCAATTATAATTTCTATTTTTGAAAAAGGAATAAGATGCTAATGGAAATGTAATAATTGTATGTTGAAAAGAGAGCCAGTAAATAAGTAATATTAAGGTTAGAACTTCATATTACAGAGACTATAACTTAAAGCTGGCCATCTTTTCACCTGAAATTATTCTGAAGAAGATTTTTGTCTTAGTAGAATCACCTTCAGCTCTTTTTTTATTGCTGGGCTATGAATAAATAGCACTGACTTTACGAGTATTATTTTCTCTGATAGTTCCACTGAGTGGTGCTCTTGTCCTGCACTTGCTAAGCACATTCTATTTCTGAAGGTGCATCCACTATAAATCTCTTTCCTTGGAACAGCTACAAGGACAAAGAGTTCCCTATGAACAAAGTACATTTCAGTAGGTTTGTTTGTTTTCTTCCGACACTTGTTTAAAGTTCTTCATTTTATGATGTTATCCAACAGCATCTTGATTGAGGTCTGTAGTATTTTAGCTCTTATATTCCTTAATTGTTCAACCAGTGAGCATGCAAAATCTGCAGTGCAGTTATACAAGAATATCGTGCAGCTGAAAGTTTTGAGAAGTCTGTTGTTTGTGTGCTACTAAGTAACAAGGAATCCTGGTGCACAGAAACTTTTTTTGTCACTTCTTAATCCATCCTATGTATTTTTGTTTTACTTATTGTTCATAAGAAGCTGCTTCTTTCCATATTACTTGTGCTTCCTTATTAAAATCTGAGAAATACTGAAAGACATAGCCTTCTTCAAAGGTGAAGGCTGGCCACACTAGAAGCTTTTCTTACCATTGCAAAAAGCAGCAGTTCTACAAAAGTTCCACAGGTGTGCAATGGTTTATCACCTTTTTTCCTCTATTCGGATATTGCAGTAAATAATGTAGTGATGGTAGAAAAGGAAAATATCCTCTTCAGGTATTGTGTGTTGCTGCCTTTTGGTTTTCTGGCAGGTTATTTTAGATTTAAATAAGTCTTTCAATTTAATTGTTTTTGAAGAATTTCTGAGATCAATGGTTATTTATCTTCTCTTTAGATCAGTTTAAGATGAACTCTTGAGTCATTTGGAACAATGCACACTGTCCTGTAAATTTGTTTGTAGAAGTGTCTGTGTACATTATTTGGCAAGGTAATGCGTATGAGTTTATTTTAAGCCTTTCAAAAAAGACATGAGAAGGATTCTCACAGTACTGTTAACTCCTGTGGAAAAAACTGAGGTTGTGTTTGATTTTTTCGTTTATGGAAAAGAAATTCTGCAACAAGTGTCAACTTGGTGTGAGTGGTGTGTGGGATGTTGATTGACCAGTCACTTAAGCTCTGTAAAGCACAATGTTTTCAGAGACTTAGGAAATAATTACAGCTTAATAACTATTGCCTTGAGCATTTAAGAAAAGTTTAGATCTCAGGCTCAAGAGCTTTCCTGCTGTGCAAGTGAATTTCTTTTCACTAATGCAATTTTTTAGCTTAGATGGATTTGCAAAGATAAATAAATTAACAGTTCATTCCATATCTTTGAAAATCAGCCTGCAATCGTTCTTACATATCCCACTATATTTACTTTGATCCAGACGTCTCCAATATCAGTTTTATTCCAGAATTAAATATTTGACATGCAGTAGAATTAGCTTTTCTCATTAATATTTTGATTTTATGCTAGGCTTGCTTGTTAAAAGACACAAAAGGGTAAATTATCTGCGTGTGAATTTCACAGAAAAATTAATTTCATCTAAAAATGCTCAAATAAATGCTTTTTTAAGAAAGTAGGCTATTATGTGCAAACACCTAATTATTTGAAACTGGTTTTCTCTGAGGCAAGGAAATATAAAAAAAAAAACTTGTCTCATTTTTCTCTTTTTATTCTCATTATCACATTATTGAGGTGAGGGAATGCAAGAGATGATAGAGTTCTTCAAATCAGAGACAGGTCAAACATGTATGTAAGTCCCACATGAAGAAGCTAAATACCATACTTCAGTCTAGCTAGTGGAGGAAAGCTCTCTCTCCAGACAGTTTTAAACTTTGTGCTGTTAATTTTGGTGTATTCCTAAGCCTAATTGAGTTAGGCTCACCTACATCATAGTTCAGATATTTGGCATGTCTTTTATCTAGCAGCCATGTTCAGTTTTTTTAATTGCAATGCTTCTTTAATTGCTGCATTTCAGCTTTTCAAATAAGAATTTCCTGACCTAGAAACCAATTCCAAATCAGATTGTTCTTTAGAGTGCTTTTGTCCTTAAGGTGATTTACCTTAAACAAAGTTTTAACTGTTCCTGGTTTTATTGTTGTATTTCAGTAAATCCTTTAGCAGCAATCAGTATCTACTCTTTTACTGCTAGAGATAAACACCAAATTGTTAGCTAATGTTACAGGTTTAGGTGTGTAGGTGCACTGCTTGGAATGAAGAAATTAACAAAGGGTTTGATTTAAATGTTACTTCTTACAGGTCAAAGAAATCCTAATTTATCAATACTTCTGTAAGCACATCATTTTTAGATGTGAAGGATGTTAAAACAGCTGATATCCTTGCTGAGCTAAAGAATCACAGTGATGTTATGCACTTACACTGAGTAAACAGGGAGGCATTTCTTTGTTCTTGTTCTGTTTGCAACTGGGAAGAAACAGCCATCTTAAATGTATTCTTAAAGGATGTATGATATGTAACAATTTCATTGCTGTGCTTTATTCACGTTTCTAACACAGTTTTAACTGGGAATCACACAATTCTGTAATTGATAAAGCACCAATGCTTGATAAACTGTGAAAGAGAGTTGATGTTGTGATTAAATCTCCTCTTTAAAGGAAAATTTCTTTATTTTCCAAAGAAACACTCTTAATCCTTTATGACTATTTCTTTAATAGAAAAATGTAAAACAATTTGGATTAAAATATAAACTGATGGCAAAATGCAAAACTATAAAATTAAGCTGTGAAGAATATTTATTTAAAATGAGGAATAAACTAGTGATTAGGAAAAGAAAAATCCTAAACTAGGAGCTTTTATTTAAAATAAGAGTTGGAATAAAGAGTAACTATAAAAATGTTTGTCAGATTGTTTTGGTGTTGTGGTTTTTTTCATTCTGCACAATAATCACAATTTATTACTAAATTGGTATTTTGGGAA